ATATATTTTCTGAAAACTACGAAGGACGAAGAAAAACAGACAAGCCTAAAGATCCTCTTATTTGTGTATTCGCAAATAAATGTGACCTCAGTCACGAGAGAAAGGTAAAACGAGAAATGCACGACGAGTGGACGTCTCGCAACGGATTGCAGGTATGTTCTTTAGTTCCTAACAAAACTGAAAGGAATTCCTCTGCTCCTTCTTCAATTTTGTATGTTCAGTCATATTTTGTTTCAGCCAAAACTGGTGACATGGTAAATATTTCGTTCATTAAACTGGCTGCTCTACTTGCCGGAGTTCAGCTGCCTCAAGGTCAGCTGGATGGTGCAACGAAAGTAATTGTTGCTCCAATCATTAATTATGGCACTCCAAGCAAGGAAGAAGAGAAGCCTAAACCAAAAGAAACAATAGTGAGGAGTAGGACATGTATCATCTCATAATACCTAATTTTTGAATCCAAATAATTTTCGAATACCTTTTTTTTCAAGTTGTTCCAAAAAGTATTTTGCACTTGGCCTTTTCCTGTAATTGTATGTCAACATCAAGTACATCATGTCTGTAAAATTATATATTATTTGATTGTAAAAACTGAGTAGAATAAACCAATTATTTACCTTTTAACCGTTTCAAGGTAGTGGTTTCTTTTGTATAATTTCTCATGATCATCTGTTCTGTAAAGTTTTTTAAAAACATGGATGCGTTGTTGGCTTCCATCAATGATGTAAGGGGAAATTTCGAGAAGCAAGTTTTGATTAAATTTGATTCAAGATCTAAGCTCAACATTTGATAGAGAACCACTCCGAGGCTATAGAGGTCACATTTCAAGTTATATTTTCCTAGTATAACCTGCATATATAGTTAGTGTCAAACATGACACTTGGGTATACGTACCTCAGGAGAAACAAAAATAGGGCTTCCACACACTGTACCATTTAGACTCATGTCTGAATGTGGCATCTCTTTTGCAACTCCAAAATCCCCAATGACTGCCTTTACTGTCTTTTTTTGTAAATTAATTTTCTCTAAGAAAATATTGGCTGGTTTAATATCTCTGTGCGCAATACCAACATCTGTATGGAGGTAATTAAGGGCGGTAAGTAAATCTTTCATGATGGAATAAATAATTTCTTCTGGTAGGCATTCTTTTTTTCTCAATTTGAGAATGCAGTTGTTTCATTAAATCTCCATTAATATAAAATGGTGTGACAATACCTAGTGAATTCTCAAGGGTATCCTTGTTATAAATTTCAAAGATATCTAGGGCAGGTACCAAATTTTCATGTCTCAATTTTAGCATGAGAATTGCTTCCTAATTTGTTGAAAGTTGAAAAAGGTTTAGATTCTTTT